ATATATATATGTGTGTATATATATATATATATATATATCATCCTTTTGTATTTTAAAATGTATTCATTGTGCATACAAAGGCATAATGAAATTAATTTATGCTTAAACATTTTATTTATCTTGCCGAATATTTAAAATATTACATAAAAATCTTAACCACATACTAAAAAGTTGAAATAGTTTTTCCTGTGTGATAATATATGTGATAATATAATATTTTCTGCACATCAGCAAAATTCTATTTTAAACTATTTTATTTATTTATTTTTGCATTTTTTTTTATATTAAATTAAATTAAATTCAATTAAAGTTTTACAGAAAATTAAGTTTCTACAATATTTAGTAGTAGCTTATCAGTGGTGACTGCATGTATGTATTAAGTTCGCATAAAATGGTGTAATACAAAATTTATTTACACTCACTCACTTTATTTATGTGATAGAATATGTAAAATATTACAGAAATTACTTTAAAAATTACCTACTCAAACTGTAAAAAGCACACTTTTCATAAAAGGAGCCAAATGTCATCCATCCAGTACAAGTAATGACTGTCACAGGCTATATTCACACGGTCAGTTTTTGGGATTGACTACTATATTTGCTTACAGGTGTGAGTCTTGAAATGTCCCGTTCACACAGCAACTTTCAGTAGCGTCTTGAATGCTGTCTGTATGAACGTGCAACGGGAGTCAAGCCCGTATTCCTTACCAGTAACCATAGCAACAGTGACCAAAGTAATATCAAAGATGGAGACGTCCATAAAACTGAAAGTCTTATCACTTTCTGACACAAGTGTCATCCATCAAACACTCATTAACCGACAGCAGCTTTTATATTTGGGTGGAGTTTACTGGTGTGAGTTCGATTACAGAATGCGGTTGTCACGCCCGTAAATAACCGTACTGTGTGTGAACGTAAACGTTTTAAGGACTCAAATACAGGACTGACAACCATATTCTGCTGCTGTGTGAACGTGGCCACAGGTTCAAGATAAAAAAGCCACTGGGGTGAGTCTCGAAATGTCCCGTTCACACAGCAGCTTACAGTTGTGTTTGGAATACCGTCTGTATGAACGTGCAACGGGAGTTAAGCACATATTCCGTACCAGTAACCATAGCGACAGTGACCAACGTAAAATCAAAGATGGCGACGTCCATAAAACTGAAAGTCTTATCACTTTCTGACACGACAAGAGTCCAATCGAGCCGCGAATTCATTCGTCAAATCATCATTAACCGACAGCAGCTTTTATATTTTGGTGGAGAGCGGAGCATTTGAATCGTATTAAGGACTCAAATACAGGACTGACAACCATATTCTGCTGCTGTGTGAACGTGGCCACAGGTTCAAGATAAAAAAGCCACTTATCAGATAAAGTTTTTTTTTGCATATTAAAGGGGTCATATGATGCGATTTTAATTTTTCCTTTCTCTTTGTAATGTACAGTATGTGGAAAATAATGTGTTTTTTGAACCTTAAACCACATAAACACATTTCATTACACCAAATACACAAAATAATGTTCTTTTTAGCAACTTCATATGACCCCTTTAATATACTTAATCATACACAGACATAAGAGTAAGAGCACACACACCCACACACACACTAAGGAATTTCAACAGAATGTGAATTTGACACTTGACTGTGTCTTTTTTTCATTATTCATCAAGCAGAGCAATTGAAATTTTTGCTACATTAATATTTTAAGCTAAAGCTTTCGCTGTCTTGTTGATTTTAAGCATAATGTTTTGAAATATGGCATTGTGCCCATAGTCACAACCCACTGAGAGCCAACAGATGCTTCCTATCTTCCCTTTATTCCCTCTGCTCCTCCACCCTTATTTTCTTGGAGTAATCTTTCCCTCACCATCGCCCCGTATGGCCTTGTGCCCTTTGGCCCAGTAAGCACTACATGGCATATTCCACCCACGCCAATGCAAGAACCTTAGGAAGCCAGCAGTGTCAGATAGTCTGACAACTGTTGGACAAAGAGTCATTTTCTTTTCCTGTTGTGGAAACATAATTGGAATTACAGAATGGGCATTGGGGAGATTTCCTGGTGATACTTTTCCTCAAAGTGTCACAAGAGAATATCAAGAATGCTTTTGTGCAACATCGTCACGGTTAAAGTTACTTTCAAGGACGTTTGGAAAGGGAGCTTGGCTCGTGATCAAGACATAAATTGATTTGTATGGTATTTAATGAAATGAGAAGCGTTTACAGTCACATCGCAATCACACCTCAGCATGTGGCTTCACATGATTGAGGCGTTCTAGGATGAGCAACATTCTTGGGATCTGACACGGGACAAGTTTTATTGATGAACCATTACATTCATAGTTAAAGGATTAGTTCATTCAAAAATGAAATTTTTTGGATGATTCGCCCTCATGTTCCTCTTAATATATGATTTTCAACAAGATGTTCAAGTTGCTCTTTTCCATAATGAAAGTGAATGGTGACCAGAAGTCAAACTACAAAAATGATAAAAAATAAAAAATCACTAAACTTGTGCACTATATTTCAACTCATGGTCACCATTCACTTTCATTGTATGGAAAAGAGCAGCGTGAACATCCTGCTAAATATCTGCTTTTGTGTTCCACAGAAGAAAGTCATATGGTTTGTAACAACATGAGGGTGAGTAAATAATGACAGGATTTTTGGGTGAACTATGTCTTATATATTGAGGGGAGTTGTGGAAAAATCAGTAATTTTTATCTCTCCTGACGCTAAGCATGTTTGCTGGTTTTACTCAACAGCCTCACCCATCAGCCTCACACGGGTTTGTAAACTAACGTCATTAGTGTCATTTGCCGAGCTCTCTCTCTCTCTCTCTCTCTCTGTAAGAGCTTGACTGCTCTTAATCCAGGTCGTAGCCGTCACTGAAATTTGATGTGCTGTTCGCTCAGTCAGCAGTGCGCTGGCTTCATGCCACACACATGCCCGCACATACACGCTTTCACGGTCTTGTTTTTCTTTCATTCGAATGCTCACTTATATTTTTATATGAAACAGCCTTTAGGACTTGGAGGTCGTTGATGCCCTTTTTAATCCATGGAAGAAGAATGAGCTGTAGAAAGAAGAAAAAAGGAACCAAAATAAGAAAACACATGAGCCCTTTTTCTGTTTCTTGGAATCACTTTTACCATGAACTAGGGTGTGGGTGTGATAAACTACCTTGATTTCGTAGGCTATGATCTTTCAGTTTTTCCTGGTGAGTCATGCTGCACAGTATTTCAAGGCCTGTACAAAATTGTATATCTGTATTTTTCACCCTTTTGACAATATTCAGTGCATGTATTTTTGTATTTGCTATGAAATGGTTTAAAAGGTGATTATGATTGTTATTTGAACTACTAATGCAGTAAAAACAGTAATATTGTGAAATATTATTACAATTTAAATGAACTGTTTTCTATTTTATATATATTAGAAAATGTGATTTAATCCTGTGATGTAAAGCCATTACTCCAGTCTTCAGTGTCTCATGATCCTCCAGAAATCTTTTTTTTTTAAATTTCTTATTATTATCAATGTTGAAAACAGTTGTGCTGCTTAATATTTTTGTGGAATCTGCCAAACTTTTGAACGGTAGTGTATAGACAAGTTTTGTTATGTTTCCAATCAAATAAATATCCTTGTGCCTTTGGACTGTCACTCTGTCCCTCAAACACACTGGCCAGCCGCCCACTCTGCTGATGGCACGCTGCTTGACCTCTTCTCCCTCCCGAGGGTTTAAAGTTCTGTTTTCGGCATCAGTGAAGAGAGCCCTTTGATGCCACTGCAGTTAACTTGATCAGAACTCTGGGAATTCAGAATTCATTTTCTCAGAATTTCATTTCAGAGAGTTTTGATTTCTCAAGCTAAGTGGAATAAAATTTTATTTGCTATGTTTACTCCAACTTTTCACATGGATATGTTTTACATATACAGCTCTAGGGTGGTTGCATGAACAGACTCTCTTTGTCTTACCGATCTCTTAGGCCGTTCAGAGCGTTCCCTGACACATTGGCCATCCTCCAAGCTCGAAATATGGCCTTACTGGTTAATAAAGTTGCTGATGGAACATTTTCCTCATGGACTCTTGAATATGCCTTAATTAAATGTCATGGGAAAAATAAGGATTGACAGATTGTTTTCCTATTGTACAGTTGCTTTGGTGTCTTTAGGGTTAAAACAATATTGGTTTGTTGGGTGTCACATAGTCAAATTAACTTGTGTGTGTATATATGAACAAAACTAAAATACTTTTTAAAGACAACAAAGGTTCTTGGGAAGCAGTCAGAGACATTTTTTGTAAATTATGAAATTTGTGTCTTACCTTCTGAAAAACTTGCAAGCAAGTCACAAGAATGAAGCTCATTGGTCTTTGATGTTTTAAGTCTGCCATGAAACGCCCTAGCATGTGACTTTCGCAGATGCTCTTCTAGTGTTTGCACTTGTAATACTAATGAGGGTATAACATTGTGTCTACTTTCATTGTGTCTACTCTCTGTGTTGTCTTTGTTGCAGGCTCTGTGTTGGATGTTATAAAGCACATCATTTCAAAAGGGGAACACAAGAACGGTGTACTGGATGAACCCAGTATAGCTACTGTGCTGAAAGAGGTCCTTCAGGGTCTTGAGTACCTTCACAGAAATGGACAGATCCACAGGTAATACACTTTTGGAAAAGTTTTGGAACACTTGACCTAAAAATTTAATTTGTCATTATTTACTTGTTGTTATAAACCTGTATGATTTCTGTTTAACATAAAAGGTGAATTTAGAAGAATATTTGCACCGCTCCATTTTTAATAGTGACCACAAACAAAAACTCAGTTAGAATAATTGTATCAGTGGAGAACTTATTCATTGAAAAGAACTGGCTTGAAAGAACGATTCATTTACAAATCGGACCACTCTGGCAGAGTTGAGGTAATTGGAGTCAGACTCTGACTCCTACTCAGACTCAGACTATGAATGAACTTGGACGCACTCGGGTAGACTTGTACTCGAACTTGACACTTGGGTAGACTTGTACACGAACTCAGACACATGAAATATTAAAGAGCAGGTCATATGGGTTTTCGAAAAATATATTTTTTGCAGTTTGTAACGTAGCTACCCTTCAATGTAAACAGTCTGCAAAGTTGTTAATCAAAAAAAGTGTTGATAAATGAAGATATTGTCTCTAAAAAGAGAGTCGATTCTGAACCGCCTTAACGAGTCGTCATATTTTCGAATCTTCTGCCTATTACCTATATACGTCACAAGGTAACACATTTGCATAATCCCTGCCTGCCCACGAAATACGAACACTCTGACCTGCCCACAAACACTTCCGCTAGTTAGTGTTTACATCAGGTTGAGAAGACTGCATAGGTATCATCCTCAGACTCGGGCTCAAATTGATAAGGTAATATCAATGCCATTATTGTAAGCTTATAGCATCTTTGTTTAGGTAACACATTTGCACTGCCCACGAAATACGAACACTCTGACCTGCCCACAAACACTTCCGCTAGTTAGTGTTTACATCAGGTTGAGAAGACTGCATAGGTATCATCCTCAGACTCGGGCTCAAATTGATAAGGTAATATCAATGCCATTATTGTAAGCTTATAGCATCTTTGTTTACAAGTAATCCTCTGGAGCAAAAGATGTTAATGTTAATGTTAATTTCCGACACGCATTGTATACAGAAAGACCAATCACAACAGACTTGGCCAGCTGACCAATCAGAGCAGAGTAGGCTTATGGAAGGGAGGGGTTTACAGGCCTTAAGCCCAGAACTGCTTCTAACGAATTGTTTCGAAATCATTGAAAAATTATTCTAATATTAAATGTATATTCTGAGAAATTGACAATGTTTTCTGACCTTAGATGCATTTAAACCTGTTGTAGGGGACTCCAACACAATATTAGGACACTTTAAAAAAACCATAGGAC